ATAACTAACAGCTTTGATGTTTGAGGAATTGATATTGGTTTTTAAGTCCTGAGATTTTTCTTTGAAACAACTTGAGACTATCAGAGCCTATAAATTACTGTTCTTAGTCCCAGTTCCACAAGGAAAAGAGCAGGAAAGAGCCAAAACAGTTGCTGGTTTCCAGAATGTGTCCAGTTCTGGGGTTCATGAGTTTCCATTTGGGAGCTCAGTTCACTCCTTTCTAAGTGTTCATTTTTCTCTGTTTCTAGAGCTGTATCTGATGCTTGTTTCAGAAGAGGGTGGCCTTTCAGTGGCTGTAATTATGCTCTTTGTTCTTCTGGGTGATAACTTGCTGCTTATGAAGCTGCTATCCTGAGCAGAAGAGAAATGTGTTGGGTGAGAAGGAGAATCCATCAGAATTTGTGAATACTTCTGCAGCAGAGCTTGGTGGAGCAGAGTCAGATAATTCCACTGTAATGCATTTATTTGTAAAATATTCATGTGCATGATTTTGCCAAACAAATGGTGAGCAACCCGGCATTTTTGTGGAGTTGTCGGTGAAGAGACCTCTGCATGGCCTAGAAGAGGAGTTACCCTGGGCTTCAGTCCATCTTCATGGCTCCCATCTCCATATCCAGCTCCATCTCTCAGACTCAACACCTAGTTAAATCCCCTAGTCCAAAACTGGTTGTTGGCGTCACGGAGTTTAAAGCTTGAAATGCCTAGTGCAGGAGGGCGATTTATGATCTTCTTAACGTCTGTGGGGTGGGGTTAGTGCATGAGCCCTGTGAGCCCTTTCTACGTACATTTGCACCCTAGTTGCTTATTATATGTCAGCAATCCTTAGTGCTCAAGCCATCGCTACCTTCAGCCACAATAATTATTCCCCATTCTGGATGTGTTGCTAAACTGAAATGTTTTATGGAAACTAAAACTGCTTCTAGAAGTATCTAGTTGTGTTACGGGATTTTCTTTCTGGCCCTTCAGAACTGAAAAATGCTCTTCTTTTCACTCACTGAGTTTTCAAAATTAAATTCAAAAGCACACTTTGATTTCAGCCTTAAATTCTAGAAGGGTGGGTGGTCATTAATGTAGGTGTATTTTATGTATCCTCTTGAAGTGAGATTACAGTCTTCAATTTCAATTTTCTTATTTCCATTTAGGTCAGATCTCTCTGGCAGAGCACAAATCAGTCCTCCAATCCTGACGCGTCAGGAAAATAGAAAGAGCTCCAAGTTCTCACCCTGGTTTTCTCCTGAGCTCACATGGATTGACCTTGCTTTGTTCAGCTGGCATATGCTTTTGCATTGATGGATTTTTGGCAACCATCCAGTGTTAGATGTCTTACAAATCTCATCTGTACTAGCAAGGGTCACAGTGAGTGACTGAGCTTGAGTGAAGAGGGAGAGCTTCTTTTCTTTCTACTGCAGAAAGAAATGTAAAAAAAAAAAAATGTTTTCCCTCTGATTTTAAACTGACTAATTACCAGTGAAAACATTTTCCTGTATTTTAATATTTAATGGTACTACACTTAATTACATTGCAGAACTGAAGTGCACGCTCTGCTCCCTGCTCTTTAGTTTTATGAATAATTCTGAGTTGCTTGAACTTCATAATGTTTCGAGAAGCAATATAAAAATTGTCATTTTAATCATCAGTGTATAACATATACGCAAAAGTTTAGGGTCGCCCTCCTGTAAAAGATGCACGTAAACACTTAACTTCATTTACTGTGACTTGTCCCTTTTGGCTCAATGCATAAAACTGAGCACATGGTCTTAGTCTTTGCAGTGTCTAGAGTAATGAACCAAAAAGGATTGATGTAGGTACTGGTAAAATGAAATTTCTCAGTAACATGCAAATCTGTGGCATTGACGTCCAGCCAGTGCATTAGGGATTAAAGTAAGGCTCAATTAAAGATGAGAGAAAATTACCGACAGTCTTTCTAGAACTGATTGCAAGGACTGGGGGGGAACCAACATGTACTTGAACATCAAGCCTGCATTTTGTCTGTGCAGACTTGAGTCCTTTTACTAGATGTCGTTTGGAAATCCTAATCAGCAGCATCATGATAGGAATAGGGATTTGGTGCTTTGTCAGAGCACTGGCCGTGGCTCAGATTATACCCTTAAACTTAACAGGGATACTCCAGAGGCTCTGCAAGCAGTCAAGACACCAAATCCCCAAGGTGATAGTACCCGAGTCCATCAAACAGGTTTTGTTAAGCAAGTGCATGTTTGCCAGATGTTGACAGCGCACAGCCCTGATTTCATTCTTGGGAATAAATCTGCACAATAACCACATGAGCTCCTTTGGTTGGTTTCCAGAGCTTTTGTAATAACATGATACTAGTTAGAATGTCTCTCACTCCTCAAGTTCAATGTGGATTGCGTCCACTGTAGTATAATTTTAACTTTAGTTGATTAAAATTACCTAGCAAAGATGACTTGCAGATATTTTTACCTGTCAAATTAGCTGAGAATGCAAATAATTGCTCTGGCATCTTCTTCTTCTGTTTGTTATGCGTGCGATGACAGCTTCCCTCAAACATTGAGGGTCTCTTGAATTCACCTATTATTTGCCTTGCCAGCCTCTTTAGTCCCGCTATTTTACGAAGTATATGGCTTAAGTAGTTACAGGGTCTCGAGTAATAATATTTTGTATTTATTAATAGAGATAATACAGAAAGCACATAAAAATGTCCAGCATTCCATAGGAACGAAATGTGATATTTCCATACCAAAAGAAAAAAAATTATTTAAGAATAGAGTTACGCAGACTGAGCAAATCCATCTTTAATTCCCTTAGTTGTAAGGGGATCAGTGGCAGTTGTGTATTAGGCTTGTGTTTTTCATTGCTTATAAACATTTGGCAATACTTAATTTAGCACCTGGGATGAAGAGGTATCTTTTCTTAAATTCAGTTTAATACTGACAGACCCTTAAGCTTTCAAAAATAAATGTGTCGGCAATAGTAACCGCACCAGCATGGAGTAGTTATTTTACTCTTTCCAAGCTCCATACAAAGGAATATGCCTTTCCCTACTTCAGTTTGAGTATGATGTCTTTTGACTTGACTTCAGAAAAGCATCCGCTGACCCAGAGCAGTTGCTGCTTTTTTGCTGTTGAGTAATAAGTGTTAATTCCTGTCGAAATCTGTGAAATATGAAGCAGAAGCAGTCCAGTTCATGTCCAGTCCAACTGGAAATGTCAGCTTGATACACGTACATGTTTTGTACCGTGTGGCAGTCTTGAAAGATGTTTATATTTGGGTTACTTCAAGACATTTAATAATTTGTCATATTGTATATCCCTGAAGTTCAAGGAGGAATACATACCAGTGTGTGAACAACACTGGATACACAGTGTAAGTTTTCACTTACAGAAAACTGAACGGAGAACACTGGAATATACTGGATCTTTTTTCCCCCTGTCCCTTAGGGCTACAATCCCATTTTTTCTCACGTTTCCTTCAGATCTTTCTATTAATCTTTTTTCTTGTATGTGTTTGCTTGCTGGATACATTTTAGAAGGTGTACGGGCAAAAAAAGAGAAGGTGATAACCAACACTTCAACATATTTTGTTACATTTTGAAAGGCTTTTCTTGGTGTGGAGAAAGGAATAAGCTGGGTGCTATTTCTATCGGTACAAACTAAAGGTCCTCAGTTTGTTGACCAGACAGTTGTGATGGGACCGGGATAGTTAGTCGAGGGCACAGCGACTGTCATGACGCTCCACAGAAAAGCCTTTGGGATGCTGCCTTGCTCCAGGCTCTCTTTCGGGCTGCTGGCAAACTGGGGGGGATTGGAGCTGACGCTGTATTCTTTCCCCGTCCAACGTTCAGATGATGAACATAGGCAACAACTTCTCCCGTTTACAGTGACACAATGGAACAGGCCTGTTGGTCCTGGCGGGGAGGGTTCCTAGCTGCTGAACTGCAGCACAGTGTCTAGCACCTTCCTCTCCTATCGATTCCGTTTGGGAGCTGACGGAGCCAGCTCTCTCGTGGGGCGATACTGAACCGTTGGCGGACGGCCCATGCGAGACATATGTGTAACTTGCTTCATAGGAGGTGGCCTTGACAGGCGGTTTATGTACAAATTTGGTGGAGAGTAAGTTCAGCAACAGCCCACAGAGAGTAAATTTTAAAAAGATCCATGCATCAAGAACATATAACTCATATATTTTGAGAACAGTGGGAGGAGCACCTGAGTGTCCACCTTGGTTTTGATTTGTAGTGCCCTACACGGTGTAGAAACCACATTCTCATAGATGCCAAATCCCGAAGGGCTCAGCTTGACCTTCTAGTGTGCACAGGCCAGGCCAGAAATGCCGAGTTTGCAGAGCAGATATATTACTGTTTCTGCATCTGCCTCACGACTTCTTTTTGAGGTAACATCTCTTTTTCAGGAAGATTTACTCTATTTTGATCTAAAGCTAATTAGAAAGCTGTTCTGTTCTCATGCCTCTAGTGTTATTCATTAGAGATGTTTGATCCGGAGTAGCTTTTACTCCGGTGGGAGAGAGAACAACCCATTGGATGTTATTTTTGGAACCTGCTTTCCAAGATAGTTTGCTGAAACCTGGATTTTATAAGTGCTCTGACACACTGTGAAATCTTTGTTTGCATCCTGTATGTAATTTGAAGAAGTAGACTGAGACTTGGATCAATTTGCTTAATGTGCCTGATGGAACGAGACTCATTAGTGTCGCTTCCTGGTGAGTTTTTATTAAGGCAGAAGCTGTGGTCTGTGGTTTAGCTCAGCTCAGAACCAAATACCTAGAACGTTGGATTGGGCCCTTTTGGCTTTTATAGGCGATAGTAAATAAATAACGTGCAGCTCTTTATTTGCTACTGCGCACGGATCAATTGGCACATCTAATTTGTTGCCGAAGCTCGCTCTATTAGATCTTTGCTAAGCGAGTAGAGCCTTCAGTCATACTTTGTCAGCTTGGAAGAAGTCCTTTGTTTCCTCCTCCCCCAATAACTGGCAGCATACTCTCTTTTTCTCACTGCCAAGGGACATATTGCCAGCAGAGAGAAGTGGAGGCTATAACAGAAGGAGATGAAGACGATGAAGGCTGCTGCTGTTGTAAGCCCGGGCACTTGCCTCATTTGTTATCGTGTAATGCAGCCTTTAACCTCCGATGGCTGACGTGGGAAATAACACGAACCCAGTACATCCTGGAAGGATATAGCATCATTGATAACAACGCTGCAACAATGCTGCAAGTGTTCGATCTGCGGAGAATACTTATCAGATACTATATAAAGGTAAACTCTTCGGTAAAGTGGACTATATTCCTGGGCAGGTTTGTCATAAAGAATGAATGCTGGCTGTGTATTAGAAATAGCATTTGAAATTTTTGGCTTTATATTTATTCATTTGCACTCCCGGCAGTCAGACTGACTTAATGTTAGATAGGGATAATTAATTCATATCTCCCTTTGCTACATTTGATTCTGACCACTTAGAGTTAGTACAGAAGATTGCTGGCATGCTTAAGCAGAAATCAAGAAGGTGAGTTAACATCCTCTAGCGATAAAGTCAGAGGAAGCATTCTTACAAAGCAAAACTTCACTGACAGTTTGTTGTTTCTTCTTGACTTGGCCTTTCCACTGTTTTTTCTGGCAAAAAAAAAACCAAACGATCAACAAGCATAAAGTTCTTGGGAAATCTCTGAAGAGCTCTTTCTCAAATATACTTTTTTAGTAGTGCAAACCCCCTTCTTACCTGCTGTTTTACATATATACTACAACACATTTGAAGTTGTTTTATTCCATTAGATTAAGCAGCAATTCATTTGTATCACATCTATATTTGCACTATTAAGATCACAGTGACCACGCAGATATTAATTTGTTACAATAATTGAACCTTATAGTCTAGCAAGACATCTTCATCCTCTGCCAAAGCCTTTCCAGTCTAGCAAATGAAGAAATCGCTGAGCTTTATTGTTTTCTACTAAAGCAACAAGAACGAAATGCTGCCTCCTGTGCCATTGGTACTGCCGCAAAGCACTCACTAGAGCTCCCAACCATCCCTGATGTCTCTTTCCTACTTGCTTTTGTTACGTCCACCACCTATGGCTTTGGAGGGGTGAAAATTGAATCTCTTGTGGTTGGATTTATTTGAGCCAGTACTATAACACTGCATGTACAGATCTTCATTCTTAGAAAGGTGTCAGTCCTTTAATCTACTTCCCTTCTTAGGGAAGGATGAACAGAAGATAATAATAACCTGTTGGCAGCTTCGATATTAGCCTGGGCTGGGGCTCCCTTCAGCAAAGGGAGAGCATGCTCAGGAGATCCCTTCTTTAGAATGACACTTCCCAAAAGAAAGCTGTATAGAGATTTTCTTCTCCTGTTCTTCAAGTTATGAGTTTCTTCCGGAAACAGGAGCTCTTATAAGATTTGGTAAAATCCTTAGTACAGCCTCAGAAGGTGAGAAGATTATATTATGTATCAGATCAGCTATCATCCTGTTTATTTAGTACTTACCTCCAGATAAACAATATCAGAAACAGAGGTGAGAATTCATTCCTTGCCCAGCTCTTTCTTACGGGGGAATCTTGAGCTGTAAAGACCCTGCGCAATTTCACTGTGACCATTCTAAAGCCCTGTCACTTTCATTTTAATGGCGTAGGAAAGTCATTGTAAGAAGAACTCTAGTTAATGCAGAATTCAGGTCACATAAATCACAAACTCAGAAAACACTTAGGCTGGAGTTTCAGCAGCAACTGCACTTCCATTGCACTGAGCATTTGGAGTGCTTCTAGTTTATTCGTTGTAGCTTACAATATTGTAAATATTTGCCATATTATTTCTGAATTGCCATATAGCTGAGGATGTACTTGTGCACAAAACATACCTAGGAAGAGCTAGTAAGAGCAGAATTTAATTAGGTGGCAGAAGTGTTTGCTGTTTCTATGTCTGATTGCAAGTCTGATTTTTCCCCAGCTGAATCTGCTTCTTCGGAAACACAGGTGAGAATAATAAAAACAGCAAACTGTATTTTGAAGATCAACAAAGAAAATGTATGCTTTGTTTCAGTTCTCCTATCCTTCAAGAATAATTACCACATTCGTCTTTTAAACAATGAGTTGCACTAAGCGTCTTATTCCTAATGTATTTATTTCACTTGCAGTTTCATTGACAGCCTAGAAAGGCCCGTATTTCTTCCTATAAAAGGATTTTTATTCTCCGCAAATAAAGTGGGTCAGCTCCTGTAGCCCTTCTGCATATATTTTGAAATCATTTCCTGCCCAACTACTGTGATATTTTTCCCTTGTGCCTCCTCCATCTCTTCTCAATACATTCTTGTTTAGACATCTTTTACTATTCAAGAAGTCTGCATTCGCCGAGTGCTGTGTTTTCAGCTCTATTGTTTCTGCATGAATCTTTTTTAAAGAGTGTATCGTTCTCCACATGCCAAGAAATTAAGGGTCCATCCTTAGTCTGTATCTGTCTGACTTGTCTTTTTCCTCTGGAGCTTAATTTTCCTCTTGCTTGTGTATTTTTGTGCAATTTGAAAGATAAACCGTGAAGGGCATCTGGGATTTTTAAAAGGGCTGGTGGTGCTTCTGTCCTTTTTAATCCATCATATTTTCATTTTATACATTTATTTGCTTAATGATATTTCCATTGCTTGGGTAAAGTAGAACTGCATCATCTTCAGTCATGTTCACTTGCCCCTCGTTTTCTTTGGAATTCAACTCTAAATTAATATATTTTATTAAAACAAAAGTTATAAAACATTATAATGGGACTTCCCAGCTGATGCCACTTTCCTTTGCAGCACTGGAACCTCTCCTTAAGTTTCATATTCTTTTGAAAATATGCTTTAAATTTGGTTTGGATAGATTTTTAATTTTATTTTATTTTATTTATTATTATTTTAATGGCTTCAGAGACTCCTTCACTGCTTTAAAAGCAAACTCAGTTACAGCAGTTATCAGCTTCTTAGGCTGACATATAAGAAATAATCCATTATTCTTTACTGGCCTCATCAACAAATAACAAAAATAGTGATGCCACTAAATGCAGAGAGAAAACATCAATTAAAACAGGCGTTTTCAGACTTGTGTTGTACACATCTGTCAGATCTCACCTTTGTAGTTGAGTCGTGGTGGAACTGTTTGTTAAAGAATTAGGAAAGCTTTGTCCCCTAGAAAACAAAAAGTCCATGAAGGAAAGAGAGTCCTATTTTGAGCATGTGACCGTCTACTACTATTTTTTCAAAATATGCCAGAACTTTTATTGATACCACCTTCTCGGTATCAACGGATGGGCTCTAGAACCCCACTAATATTCCATAATTAACATGTTTGAATGCTGGAACTCTGTATTCTTATCATAGTCTATTGCTTGTATTAATTTTCCTATAAGGCAGAAGGTATTAAAAATGTGACTTCTTTTTCTGTTGTCTGCTGTTTAGATATCAATTTTATCATCTTTCTAACTTGAACAGTTTTGTGAAGCAATGATGCCAAGCAGTAAAAAATCGGAAAAATATGTACAGTTATGGGTAGTTAGTGTGGTCCTGTTTAATTTATTCTCTTCTGTGTAAAATGTATCTCCTTGAATCAGAGACAGAGTGACTAACGTTTGCACATTTTATCCACAGAGTATAATATACTTTACAGCAAGTTCTCCCAAAATCCTTGACTGGATAAAAGACGAATCCATCCAAAAGATACTGCAGCCTTACGCAAAGTGGCATTATATTGAACGTGACCTTGCAATGTTTAACATTAACATAGACGAAGATTATGTTCCATGTCTCCAAGGAATAACAAGAGCTAGTTTCTGCAGCGTTTATCTGGACTGGATTCAGTTCTGCGCCAGAAAAAGAGTGGAGGTAAGCTTGCATTGATTTTTTGGTGGTTTTTATTGGTTGGTTGGTTGGGGTTTTTTTGCAGTAGTAGTTTTAATTCTTGGGATAGGAGTTAAATGATGCATCGTTACTCTTCAGCTTGCTCAGGATTAATACAATGAAATTTATTTCATTTAAGCTGCCAGATTTAACATCAAAGGAAAATACATGTTTTGTGGAATGGAAAAAAACATATTTTGGGGACTACCATTGTGCAAAAACTGAGTTTTAAGGAGAGTTAGTCTTTGAATACAGAACCAATTCCTTATTGTGCACACTTCTGACACCATTAATTTCATCATCTCTAAAAAGCATGGATATAATAAGTGTTCGCAGAAGTAATGCTGGAGCAGGCTCTGTTCAGGGAATGTCATCATTCCTTCAGTGTTGCCAGTGTTTGTGTACCCTTTCCAAATATTTGCAATGTTTGGGTACACTTTCCAAACGTTTGCCTACGTTTGGGTACAATCTTCAAATGGTAGGGAAGTGCATAACAAACTCACTGCTGGGATAGGTCACTTCTGAGAGCTCATAATTCAAATGTGAAGCATGTCACAAAACCGCGTGAAATTACCTCGCAGCTCTAGAAAGTCAAGGGCAGGTTTACAGCTGTGCATTCACATGCTTTGAGCCACTAAGATTGCTGATTGTCAGAAATGCACTACTGTATTTTCATGGAATGCTCCAGATAGCCCAGAGGGAGAATACAATTTCAAACAAGCATATTCTCTTGATCTAATTTTCTGATTATTGCTGATAATGGCAAAAAATGAGAAGTGTGTCTTTCCTGGCCACCACACACTGTTATTTGTGCATGTTTCATTCAGGATCACTGAGTGCACATCCCATTTGCTACCACTGACCTTAGCTGGCATAACATCGCTGGATCTTAATGATTCTTCTCCACTTCGGTTCCTTCTCATGTCTCTAACCCTGAGTACCATTCCACCAGTTCCTCTGCGTATCATTGCATTGATACTGTTTTCATTGAATTGTCCTCTGAGCCTTCCCCACCATCTCCTCCTGCTGGGAATATTTCATCTCTTTTCTTTCCCATCTCCATGTCTCAGCTCCCAGGTTTGGACATACAAAGAATTGCATGGTGCAGGGAAAGCCACTGTTAAATGATGCTTTTTCACTTGTTATGTAGCTGAGACTTTCCAACAGAATAATAGATTTAGGGATGCCCAATAGACTTGAAACTTAACAGAGTTAGACTTAAAAGAGCAAAGGAGTGCCTGCACTAGTGTGCACACACACCCCTTTATATATATTTTTACATCTTTTTCTTTTATCTCTGTTTTTCTAATTCACTAACTATATAGAGGTAAAATTCATGTAGGAGGTAAGATGTAAAGGAAGTTTTACTGTACACATACCCCTGAAAATCAGTGTATTTTATAGAAGGAGCTACATTCTCCATTATAATTGGCTTCAGTATTAGAGTCAAAGCAAGCTGTAAGAAATCACCCATTGCATGGACAGAAATAATAGTCTGTATCCTCCTAAAGATTCACATTCATGAGGGGTTGTTTCGATTTTTCCTCCTTGATAGCAAGGTTTTCTTTGCAAAAATTTCAGTAAAGAAACTGTCCTGAGCTAGTAGATGTCAATGTAATGTTTTGACTTTGATGACACTGACCTCACATTTTAACAAGCAATAGTATATAATTTGGGTATATATTGTTATTCACTAAAAGTGTGTACTCCCAATTTTTTCCAAATAGATTGTTCTGGAATCTGTGGGGGAATTTCATATGCACCGTGTCCCATGAAAAGGGGTTTGGCTGCTTCCAGTTGCAGTGTCTCTCAGCAATAAGGAATCTGCTCTGATTTAGAATGTCAGATCTGGAAAAAACAGACAAACAAACAAGAAACCCCCCAAGCCCCCCCCCCGTGGGCAAAATCAGTTTGCACTTTGCAGAAAGCCTTTGATGGCAATGATCTTCCTTTAATTGCAAAGAATGTTTTTGTGTGTAGGTCCAGCTACAAACAAATTTTATGAATGTCATGATCTGTAGTATTGCAGTGCTTTTAGAGATGGTACTTGCATCTGGAATAACACGCTGTTCTTAAAACCTTGTAGCACCTGGACAGCGATGAGGATTCTCCTCTAGTGACACTTTCCTTTGCCTTGTGTATACTGGGTCGAAGAGCTTTGGGAACTGCAGCTCACAATATGGCCATCAGGTAATTTTTAGGAATCCTTTTTCCTCATTTTAAAGCTGTTTGTTTTAAATCTATTTGTCTTTTTTCACTTAATGTGGAATCTCAGCAGAAGATTAGATCAAGGCAAAGTCTCTTTCCTCCATAAAATAATTTGTTTTCTGCCATTCCTGGACATCTTTTACCTTGGTAGTTTGCTTAATAACTAATATCAGTCTTTATTTCACAGGGCGCAAAGCAGAATTTTGCATTGAAAGAATAGGTTCCGATGATTATTGCTTGTGTTCACTCATGCCTGGCCTGGCTACTGTAATGCTGGCTTCCTTCAGAAGGGGAAGAAACTGCAAAGTACTCTGACATCTAGTTAGCTAAATAATAATAAATCCGTAAGGGTCCTCTATTCCTCAGGGCTGTATTCCATGTTCCTTGTGCCACTTCATTCTGGTGATGGAGGAAGGGAGAACCTCGCATCTGTTGAGACCGCAGCTTTGTCTGTTCTCAGTCTACCTTGCTCATCCATTCATTCATTCAAAACACTTCTTTCTAGCAAGTCTGGCTAATTAAAATGTGCTTGGTTAAGTTTGTTTCTGGATATGCTCGTCACCTTACATTGTCCTTAGGGATTCTTCCATTTTCACTAGGAGTTCTGAGTTGTTTAGGTTTTATAAAGTACCATTTATGCTGTGCTAAGTGTTTAGCCTGAGTAATTAATTTTATAGATATAGCATTTTATTAATGAAATAATCTTTACTTTATCAAAGTCTAACTTCTCTCCTAATTTTAGGTTTTTATTAGAGGTATTTGAACTCCCTGTGTTCACAAGAGTTTAGTAATAGTAGAGAAGATTAGTAAATACACAGTCTCTAAGTGACCTTGCTGTATTGGCACAAAAGTGTGAATACAGCTAGCTAGCCCTCTATCAACATGGTCCTTAGAGAGGATTTGTCTTACTAACAAGCAAACGAAGACAGCATGTGTGATTTTGAATGCATTTTCTGTTATAAGATAAAACAGTCCTTTAAATATTCATTCTAGCTTTGTGATCTGTTGTTTGTAACGTCTGTTTTTATGTCTTCATCTTCCAGTCAGTCACACAACATGTTCATGGCCCACACGCCTGATTTCTTGGTGTGCTGCCGCTTTCTGCTTTCTAAAGTGGCTTTCGTCATCTCTTTTCTACTAGTCTTTGCGCATTCCCTTCCTGTAGCAGTTGTCTTCTGCGTTGAGTTTCCTCTCCCTTCATTTCTATGCACTCAAATTAGTGCGATGTTTAGTAAGTCATCGGTATTTCTAAAATTGCCCTATTTTTTTGATGATCCAAATTTTAGAGTTTGGGGACATGATAGCAAAGTTGATGTGCATTTGTGATTTTTTTTTTTTTTTTTTTTTTTTTTTTTAGAAAAGATTAAAGTGAATTTGATCTGGGGCTGCAATAGATATGTCACAGCAATATTAGGAATGCATCTAAAAATATCACAAAAGCTTCCTAAAACTGTCATCACGTTGCATGTACTTTCCACAGGATCTTAAAATGTTCATTACAATGTTTTGGCACTAGTACAGATACAATAACAATGTCACCTATTTTTATTGGCTTACATGGTCAGTAGCTAATGGAAAGAGATAATATTGTCAGAGACTTTCCAAAGCTCAACGTGAAAAGTGTGAATGTTGAGAATAATTATTTGCGAAGTTTTCTGTAAAGATTTGAATAATAGTTGCAGGAGTCGGCTATACCATGTCTTTTTAAAACCTGGAAAATTACCAGTTTCTCTCCTTTGGTGAGTGGATGCTCCATGCTCAAAAATACTTCTCTTGGGGAGAAAAGGTTTGTAGAAGGGCAAAAAATGCAGCAGTCATATGCACTGCAGAGCTCTATCGCTGTTTTTCTGAATCCGTTCTGTATAATCCTGTATCTTTAAGTCCTGATTTTCTTTTTATTAAGAAAGTGCTCCGGGGCAGTATTGAATCATTGTATTGTTTTAAATGTATTTTGTGACATAAAAGGGATTAAGTGGAAGCTTCTGTCAGTATCTTTTTCAGTGCTACTTCACGAAAGCTTTCCCTAGAAAAGTTTCACTGTGAAAAACTGTGTCACTTACCCACCTGGTTAAATTACCTTTAATACATTTCAACTGTCAGAAAGATTTTTTGGGGAAAAAAAGGAATCCGAGGAGCACAATTCAAGTTATAAATTGCTACAGCTACAAAACATGACTTTAGCTTGGTGAGATATGTTTATTCTTGTCTTAAAGAATTTATGTATTTATTTTAATTGACAAAAACAATTTAGTAGAAATTATTAACTGAGGAGCAAGGTGGGTATGCTGCCCCCTGACATCAAGACACTTATCAACACAAGTCCCCCAAAGACATTCACTTCAGCACAGAGGGCAGTTGCTTCACACAGATCTTCACAACTTATTTAAACACAAAGAAGCAGTTAACTCAGCGAGACTCCGATAGGAATACAACTATATGGCATGCCAGGGGGAAGGAGACTTTGTCCAACACGTGCAACGCTGCTGAGGCCAGAAGGAGATCTTCCCAAGGATCAATTAACTTGAGGCACTGAAGGCAGGTCTCCCTCCCGTCGCTCTCTGGTGGAGATACAGCAGCTCTTACGAGCGGCGATTTAGAGCATTATTGCTGGTCCTCGCCCCTAGCTCTCAGGCCGTTGGAGGTCTGCATTCAAGTCAGGTGCGGGAGAAGTACTTCAGGTCCTCAGAAGCTGGAGAAATCATTCCCTAGGTAATGCTTCACAGTCCTTTTCCTTGAAAAGGTGTCATGATATTTTGGGGACCTTTTGGAGCATACTGGTGCTGAAGAGGGTTTTGGTTTTCTGCAGAGATGGTGTCAGAACAGGCAATCCCACAGCCAGACTACAAAAATTTAGATTATTTAGATCACTCTGGTAGGCAGTGAGAAATGACCTTGAACTTCATCTCAGGACTTTCAATTAATTCTGGCTGTGAAGCATCTTGTATACAACATTGCTAGAGGTTTCATGACGAGTTTGAGATGTAATGGCCAGATAGGCATTGTAGTCTTCTCCTCTTCACGCTTATTTCTACAAAGTGTTTCAGGTATGTCCAACGTGAGCAAACTAGCCAAGAGTCTGTGCTCTGTGGTCCATGTTTTGTTCTCGGGAGTGACTGTGCAGGTAGTAGGAAACTGTCTCTGGATTAAGTCTAGCCCTTGCTGTGTCTTGAGGAGTGACAGTCATCCAACTGCTGCACAGAAATAGGAACGCAAAGGTAATGTTACACTGAGCTGTGCACTACAGAATTGAGACTCAAGTTTACATTGTGTATGTAAACTATCAATTTGCACTCATTTACACATGATTTTGTCTAATCTATTAATCAGTAAATGTCACTGTGTAAACCAAGGTTTTAAATGCTCTTATATAATGTATGTAAATAATTATTCAGTGTACCTGCTCATGTAAATGTCAGTAGAAACCCAACATTAGCACTAGATTACGCAATAAATGCATCCATTAAGAAGGCAGAACATTGCTATGCAAATCACTTGCTCTTTTAAACTGTCATTAGGAGGCATCCTGCACAAAATGCAATTTGAAGAACGGCATGACATTACCATTCATTTATTCAAATATGAGTGATATGTTTAGGTGTGTATTGTAAAAAATCCTATTCAGCCACTAGACCTACTTTTAAATAAATGTTTAGTATACACTTCAAATGTGGAAAAAACATGAAAATCTCTTAATAAAGCGTCTCTCATCAGATAGTTCCAACACTACCAAGCCTGGACGCTCAGGTCCCCTGAGCTCGCTCTGGGCGTTACCGCTCAGTGTGGGCGGAGGGTCACCCCATGGAACGCCTCTGCCTGGAGGAGCCGCTGCTCACGCTGAAGCCCAGGGAAGCAGCTGGCCCCACTTGCCCATGCCCTCCTGGGCACCACATCGCGCTGGCCGGCATCTGAGGGGAAAGAGGTGGAGGGCACAGGACACGGCACCACAACGCTGCCGGAGATGCTGCATTGCTAGTGGGAGTTCAAGCAGACGGTGCAGCTCCATGTCTGCCAGAGCTGAGCCGAGCAGAAGCAGGGGAGAAAAGTTTGACTCTTAGCTCACAGCCACTGTCATCTAAAATATCAAATTCAGAAGGGCTACCACTGAAAATATTTCATTCAGGTGCGCTATGACATTCAGGTCATTACCAGCTCGCAGGCATGCATGTTTCTTTAATCCTTAAATAAATCGACAGTTAACATTGGGAAAGGTCTATAAACTGCAGACAGAGGATGGGTTTTGGTGTGAAGAATACACACAGATATATTCACCAGCTCATTAGTCTTCATCCGTACTGTTTTCAGGCGTGCATCAAATGCTTTTAGTTTCAGCTGTTGGAGCAACATAAGGAGTGAAGTAGGAGGGAGTATTTGCTTTGGCTCCGGTGCCCTCCCTCTGGTATTTGTGGTGCTACTTAATCCCCTCCTTTCTGCACATTCGAGGGGCCGACGGTTCCCACACACCTACTAGTCTTGTTCTAAAATAGCTCGCAGTTGTGGCAGCAGCTTTTCGGGTTCTTAGCTCAGAGGGTTAGAAATGTTGCCAGAAATAGTAGTTACGTCTCTTCTTGATTAATGTCGTTTCTTTGGCATGTGGATTTACCTTAACTAGTGTTTAAAATATTTTGAAAGAGCCTGTAACTACAGCAAATTACTAATTGAGGTATGTTAAAACTGGGCCAAGAAAGCAGCAGCAACCTTGAGTCAGGCCTGAGATCAAAGCTGTTGGCTTTACAGCTTCCTTATAATCTCATTAGAGTCTTCAGGAGAGAGCATAACAATGGGAAGAATAACAACAGCTGTATCTTAGGTGGATTAAGGGCGGTGTGTTACAGAAGTAATGGCTTGAGATAGTGTCACATTATAGGCGGAATGTACCCAAAAGCCTCATTACAATTGGCAGGAGAATAAAAGCTGTCCATGGTTTTGTGAATACAGCAGTCTCCTCCAGACCTCTCTGGTGGAAAATACGATATATAAAATAATTGACTCTCAGCCTCTCACAACTACTGCCACCACTGCTTTGCTCCTTCTAGCAGTCATATTTGTTCTTAAAAATGCTGGTTAGAGAACTTATTATGCAGAGGGATGAGAAATGGATGAGTCTTCCCTAACTATAAGCGCAGCAAGAGCTGTATGTGCTTCCCTCCGCTCCCTCTGCTGATGCTCAGCTGCAGTTTGCATAGCTGTCCTAGCCCTGGCCTTGCTTTCAGCAGATACTGCTGTTCACAGCAGCCTGTTTAGCATGTGCTGATGCCTATAAGACACTTTGATGTGAATGCAAACTCTTTGTCTGCTCTGGTGTTCAGCTTTGGCTCTGAGAGCCTCCAATGATGTAAAAAGCAGTTGTCTCGCCTGCCTATTCCTCCCTTCATCCCAGACAACTTTTCAGAGCAAATACAGGGGGTGTTACGTGGGGAAAAACTATGCTACAGATCATCGTTAGGTGCAGAGTTCAGGGTAGTTTTTTCAGTTTCATCCTGGGAAGAATATTTAGACACAGAAGTGTTTTTTCCAGGCAAGGCGTCAGCTGTGTATGCTGGATGTTGTCTAGTGGGTGGGTGAGTGAAAGGACCCTTCCTGATCTCTAGCCTTTCCAAAGGAGATGATAGTCACATATTTCACCCCACTGGCTGCACCCACCATTTTTTTTTTCCCCTAACTGCTTTATTCTGGGGCTTTGCTAGCTATTAAGCAGGATTTGGGTATATTATCATTTTCTAAACCATGGAGATGATTGATTGAAAGTCAGTGGGGATCGGGACCCGCTCCTTGAAGACACATAAGAACTCCCACTGAAATCAGTGCTGGAATGTTTTGAAGACCTGAGTGTGAGTGCCTGTCTCACATAGGCATGTTTTAATACGTTACTTAGTACTAATAAATGCAAATCAGTTAAGAATTCAGAAGAGCTTCCCTGTATTCTTCACGTTCCCAGCAGCAACAGCAGCCCTGCCTCCCTGACTGGCCTTGGTCCCACTGATTAGTTGATTCGTATTACACGGCGCTGTCATGGAGAAAATCGGTCTCCAGCTGTTTTTCTGGTAACAACGTATATATCTTTCCATTATAATTTCTAAAACATGCTGCCCACCAAGGGCAAAGTTAGAATGTGCCTGAGCTGGGGATAGGCCAAGCACTCTCCCAGTCTCTCTTCTCCCTCTCTCGCAGAAGAGAAAAAATTTTAAAGTTTTTTTTTTTTTTTTCATTTCCTAAAATAATTAAGAAAGCTCAATTATGTGGAAAGATTATGGGTTCTCTGGAGAAAGCCTGGGTGGTAATGAAAACCACTAACATCTTAATGCAGCTTCTCCTCAGAGCCTTTACAATCTGAAAAAATCAAGTGCCGTAAGAGTGAGTAACATCTTGGCAGGTAGATGAAACCGTGTCCTGTGGGTTTGCAAGAGGTGCCTGTTTTTAACAGATGGTTCTGTCTTCCTCAGTTTCGAGATCACTTCTTCAGAGCAGCATTAGGACGCCAGTCCTGCTCTGTACGCATTATACAAGTGGCCGTGGTGTCGTTGTGGGAAGCTCGTGAGTCGGGGCGCGGACTGGAGCTGAAGGCTGGTTGTTTCCCTCCACAAAGCCCTCATGCAACCATTTTCTAACAACTACTCGATTTTGTACCTTTTAGCTCTTGCTTAAATCTCAGATCGAGGCAAACGGTCATCCAAGGTCAGGCAGAACTGGTTACATCTAGTTTCTTATATCAGAAAAAAGAAACCCGGTGCATATTTGCTTTAGGGCTCATTGTTTCAGTATGAAATGCCTGTCGTTTGATTCATGCTCTCACCCGGTTTCCTGAAACTTAGTATTCTTCTTAGTACATCTGGTTTAATGTTCACATTTGGGTTTGAGTTTCATGACAGAAGTCTCAGATTTGCTGAAAACATTTTTTACAGCATTTTTTTTTTTTTAATTATTTTTACCTTGCAAGGAGAACTGCTAAGACTAACAGGGCCAATCAATAAACTTTCAAACGAGGGGCTAGCTTCTGCTGCCTGCATGGGGATTGCAGAGCAGCTGGCCCGCTTCGACCTGGTCTCTCTGGCAGAGCCGCAGAGAAGCGGCACCCTGAGGCACCCCGTGACCCAGCCGCCCATCCTCAGGCCGTCCTTTGTTCCGGGTGCCACGCTCGTTTCGTGGCCCATCGTTTACAGTGCAAGCAGAAGGAAAACCACCTACCCCGAGGAATGGTTTCTCATGAGAAATATGCGATGCGACCCCGGCTTTATACCCACCGCAGGAGCTCACCCTGCGCTGGAGAGCCACCGGTCACTGCGCAGCTCAGCACGTGGCCGGCGCTGGCAGGGGTCCGGCTTGGTGAGATGGGAATGGCTTCTGGGAGTGACTGCTGCCTTTCTCTTGCAGCTTGGACTCTTTTCTCTATGGGCTCCACGCACTGTTCAAAGGAGACTTTCGGATAGCAGCAAAAGATGAGTGGGTCTTCGCAGACATGGATTTATTGCATAAGGTGGTTGCCCCGGCAATCCGAATGTCTCTGAAGCTACATCAGGTAAGGTCTTTTTTGAATTTTTATTTTTAACTTTTACTACTGCATCTGTTTTCTTAGGGAAACACAGGAGACCTTAGAAACTGTCCAAAGAAGAAATAAATGAGAGGGAAATGGAGAACTTGTTGCCTTATTCAGAGAAACTTCCTTAACCAAAATGGAAAAGCTTGGCATTTACTTATTTTGCATTCACTTGATCTTCTTTTTTGTACCCTCTAGCTGCCCATTTGAAACCATTCATATTGCACAGCTTGACCCTGCATTTTTCATCAAAACAAAACTGAAGGTCATGTCATGTTTTAGTTGCGAGGGTGCTATAAAGATGGTTTCTAGATTGAAAAGAAATACCTTGATTAGACTAATTTCATTGCTAATTCATCGGTCCTTTCGTGAATGGCAATACACGTGTAACGCTTCCGTGTGTTAAAAGACACAGCTGAGAGGAGAGTGGTTTGAGGGGTTAGCGTCATGGCTGGTTGTTCGATGATGTCGGGCTGTTTCTGACCCCGTTCTGTTTTCACTTGTAAAAATCTGGCACACCTCCACTGAAGTTGCTCCAATTTCTTCAGGTCAACCCCTGTATAGCTTGGAGTTGATTTTGTTCTTGCTCTGGCACGTTACGTTTTAGTATCGTATGCTTTTATCATGCATTGTATTTATAATGGCTCTGAATGTAACTGAAGTGGAACTGCTGTGAATTTGACACAATAATTTTATGAATGTTATCGCTGGCCGTGTTGCTGCGTGACAGCTAAAGTAGTAACACAATATTGTGATATCTGCTGATGGATTCCCAGTCTGTGCTCTTGTTGGTGGTTTTTCATGAATAAAAATAAGGATTTCCACAAGAACTGTGGAACGCCCCAGGTGATTTGATCTCCCTCTGGCTTACCCAAAAGCTCTGCCTCCTGTGGTTTTCCACTTTATAAAAAGAAAGTGGATAAGCTGGCATTCTCCGAGTGTCTTTGTCCAGTGGAGACATGAGGTCAGAACAGGTTACAATAAAACAAAAATCGTACCTTTCTGTATTACTGTTAAACTAATTGTTCTGCCTGCCCAAAGACACGCTGTATCAAATGGCAAGTCACTTGGGGTCAGCTGGCAACTGTTCGAAAACCAGGATTTTGTTTATTGTTATAGTTTTCGTGTTTTCACAGATACACCTGACCTTTTCAATACTTTTTCTTGTACCACCAGGACCAGTTCACCTGCCCAGATGAGTACGAGGACCCAGCAGTTTTGTATGAAGCCATCCAATCTTTTGAAGAAAAGGTTGTGATTTGTCACGAAGGGGACCCAGCCTGGCGCAGCGCTGTACTCTCCAACAGAGAGGAGCTGCTAACCCTGAGACACGTGGTAGATGAAGGAGCAGATGAATATAAAGTTATCATGCTCCACAAAAGCTACTTGACCTTCAAGGTTATCAAGGTACATATACCATCTTTCTAATATTGCAGTAATTTAGGGCTGTGGTAACTAATATTTCTGAGTAATGTGGCCAAAAGGAGAGGTTGATTGGAATTATGGAGTAGGGACTGGAGGCTAAAAGAGCTCTCTTCAGTTGACTTCCATCTTGCACCCATATGTTTGTGTATCTGAAATAACATTCCAGGCTTTACCAGGGAGTAGCTGCAAAAGTTCATAAAACCTGTTGGTGCAAAGACGTGAGGTGTTTGCACACACAGCTGCTGCCGTTCTACCGCGATCGTGTAGTTCTGCATCTTAAGTAGCAAATGTTTTCACATGATCCACGTTTTTAACCTACCTGTAGGTGAACAAGGAGTGCGTCAGAGGGCTTTGGGCTGGGCAGCAGCAGGAACTGATTTTCTTACGCAATCGTAACCCAGAGAGAGGAAGCATCCAGAACAATAAACAGGTCTTGCGGAACTTAATTAATTCTTCATGCGATCAGCCACTGGGATATCCAATGTACGTTTCCCCTTTAACCACCTCGTACCTTGGGACACACAGCCAACTGAGGAACATTTGGGGGGGACCTGTGAGTTTGGACAACATTAAGAAGTGGTTCAGATCCAAATGGTTAAGGTAGGTGTTAAATTTTGACTACGCAGATAGAGAGTCCACTGTATTTTCTGTTAAAAGAGAGTAATTCCGTACTGTTATCTATGAGTAAAAAACTTAATTGCAAATAACTCAGCATATAACAAAATAGCGCTACAGATATAGCAGAAAACAAATTCATTAACTCATTCATGGCTTTTAAGCAAAGCTTTCTACATGTTCAAGATTCATTGTCAAATCACTTAGCACTACAGACTTTTCCCTTATTCCAGGGAATTGTACTGTTTATGCCTCATAAATAAGGGTATCTTTTCTGTAACTCAGTGACATGTCAGAACATGAGTAAATGTGTTGGTGGGTTATGGTGGGTTATGCTCCAAAGCTTTAGCAGTATAGGTGATCATCCCCAGGTCACTGTTCTTGACCAAAATGCATCTAAAAAGGTACTTACTACCCATCAAAACTGCCTGACTTCCCCTAGGTATGCATGATCAGTATCTGACACCCTCCATCTCTCATTCCTACATGCACTTTTCATACGGCAATAACTCACTCTTGTCTCACTCCGTCCACCCGCCCTATCGCCACTGTGGCTGAGGAGAGTCAGGGGACCATGGAGAGACTGTGGGAGCCAGCTTGCATGCTAAGACCTATGCTAAAATGCCAAGATTAAATCTAGTGGCTTAATAGGCTAGTTTCCCACCATGCAGCTCACTCCCACTGAGCTCCCTCCACCCCATTCCTCCTCTTTGCTACTTGGTTACCTCATGCAAATGTTTGACCTTTAGAGACAGCTGTAACAGTAGATCAAGAGGCCTAAGGTCTTGCAGGGCTCCAAAGCCACTTAACACAGTCAAGGAAAGATTTGGTTTGTGTCCTATACAATTTTGTTCCAAGTAAGCTTACCACATCGTCATCTTTGCCATCTCATAAAATGTCAAGACCTGCAGCAGTATGAGAGAGTACAATTACACATTTTGAGGGCACCTAGCATTGGTGGCACAAATTTTCTTGCATAACGAATGGCTGACCGTGCGTGTGTTCCTGCCAACAGAATGCGGAAGGACTGCCACGCAGCTCACCATGAGCGAGGTAATGTGGAAGAGGTGGACAGTGGAGGGGGGTCTTCGTCTAGCAGCAACTCCACAGGCAATTCAAGCCAGAGCAGTAGCTCGCAGCCCACCAGAGATGGAACCCCTCAGTTGCAAGCTTCATCTCAAGAGGTCCACCAGCGTGCAGGTACTTGCACCATTTACTTGGCTTTTTCTGTAGTCTTCTCCTGAGGGGGCCACATAGGCAGATGCTTTTGGGGCGTGCTCATATCCAGTGGGAAACTAATTTTAGAAAGAGAGAGGTTTGTCTTTCCTAATGACCTGTAGGAGATGGCTTCCTGATATCGTTCCGGGTATTTACTGGGAGGGTACAAGACAAATGTGATTCACCAAAGGTTCCACTGTCAAACTCCTTTATCTGTAACTTTTGGACGAGGAGGTGCCACTAACAATGCCAGAATGAGAAATGCAGATGGGAGGGAGTCCACACGTGCGATGCGGGGAGCCTGTACCACAGTGAACCTGTGCTTATTGCTGGCTGGGAAGAGCAGAAGTGCAAGTATGCAAAAATCTTAATTATCTTGGAAGGACCATGACGATTTCTTTGAGAAGTTGGTTTGGCCGTTCATCAGTACATGTGGAGAACAAACAAATAGGAAGTAACTCCTTACGTCTATAGAGCAGTTACCAGGAGAAAATGAAATGTTGCCAATCATTCTGTCAACTAACAGCTGAGCCCTTCTCACATTACGGATTCAGAAGTACCTCAGACCTATTCACAAGGTAGAGCTACTGGCCTTCACATTGGAAAGATGCGTGAAGTTTGGCAGTGGGTCGCTGTGAGACCTATTGCTGTGGGATCAGGACTTGTAATGCAAAGCCAATTAACCTTTCAACAAGTTGTGGTATTACTGTATAAACTAAAGCAGAGAACTAGAGGGGTATGACACTTGTTTGTTTCCCATTAGATCATTGTGACCTATCGTTAAAGGTAATGGATGGGACTGGAGAAAATCTTGCCCTGAATGTAAATCATGTTGTAAGAATAAAATATCTGCTGCTTTTAATTGAGCCTAGTGTTAGAGGAATCCCCGTGTGCATACTCATAACTTGACACTGCAGTAATCAGAATGGCAAACTTAATTGTAAAATAACGATCCTGAGCATGCCATACAGGAATGAAAGTTAATTGTGAGTTGTTTAAAAGAATGTATTGGGTGCTCAGAAAACCACAATCAAGAGAGAAGGTCACACTTAGTTAAGAAAAGCAACCTGGCTTTGAGGTTAAACGAAGACATGCACAACAAATGCAAGGAAGTGGAAAACAGCAAATGCAAATCAGTGTTCAGTCCCAAGAGACCGCTGATAAGAGAAAGAAAATGCAACAAGGAGAGGTCTCTGGCTAGCACCGTTGGGGACACAAAGATGAACGCGGGTTTGTGGCTGTTTATTTTTAAAGAGTATTAGAAGCAAAAGAAATCCTAACAGTGGTCTCAATCCGTCCCTCCATACAACAACAGAGTTGCCAATAATGTAGAAATGAGAGAAGAAATGTCTGGTTTGCATTGAGGAAAATGCAGCTGATCTGTTTCCGTGATCTGATCATGAAGTAGTTCCTTCCATCCCAACAGCTACAAAGAACACGGAAGAGTGGCTGTCAAAGCTATGTGCTTACTTGAGCAAATCCAAGTGACTCTCAGTCAAGAAGGTTTTTAAGAGAGCTGGTTAAAAAGCAAGCTCTGTTTGATCTTCAGTAAGTGTCGGGACAGTAAGGCAATACCAGAGGACTGGGGAAGAACTTACGCTATGCCTGTTGTTGTTAAAGCAGAACGAATAGGGTGACCTGGGTAAGGCACGTCTGTCAGTCTGACTTCGGTTCAGGACACCGTTGGCCCACCACGCACAGTGCTAGAGCCCTGACTTAAGAAGGACATTTTTAATTTGGAAGGAGTTCAAAGAAGAGCCAAAAAATGATCAAAGATCTGGGAAATACATCCTGTCGTAAAAGATTAAGAGCTTTCAAACAATTTATATTGTAAAAGATGCTTTGATCTTAGTCTGTAAGTACTTACCTGGGCAACCAAAGGTGACCAAAGACAGTTGATTCGAGCAGACATATGATATAACAAAGCTAAACAAATTCAGGTTTGAAATCAAGTGCACATTTTTAACAGTGAGAGTAAATAAACAGTGAAACAAGTGACTACGGGTTAAGACGGCTTCTCCATGACTGGAGATATTGGATGCATTTCTTAAAAATAATCATAGTACTCAGTAATACCATACAGGCATTAATTCCAGGAAGTTCTGTGGCCCGGGCTATATGGCACAGCAGACTAGGATGATCACAGCAATCCCTTCTAGACTCATCATCTATGAATCAAGTGCATTTAATGTTTTCGTATTTCATTTTGCGACCTGGTGCCAATGAGTCCGCAAAACGCAATGAAAGCCCTATGTAAACGTGTGACCAAAATCGGGAGCATTGGAAACGTGTGGGGCTCTCCCGCAAGGTGTCCTTATTTCATGATGCAGTTTATAGAACGGCCTTTGTTTCCTAAGTGTTTTCAAGGACAGAGTTATTTATGTGTAGACGCGGGTGGTCTCCTGTCCAACGCTCTAACCACTGCATTTGGGATGAATACCGAATACTTTTGGACAGGGGTCAGCTTGGCAGTTTAAATCACAAACAGATGTTTGGCCACGTTAGCCCCTGCACGAACTAACACACCACAGCCCCTCTGTTCTTAATTCCAGTCCCTTCTTTTTATTCAAAAAGGCTAACATATTAAAATAACCATCAGATGTAGAAACCAAAGCACTTAAACAAAACCCCGGAGTCTGAAGAACCTGAATCCCTGCGGAGGCCAGACGTGCGCACGGCTGCCGGTGCGGCAGGCGGGGCCGGCCCCATCGCAGCGCGTGCCCTCCCTATGGATCACGTCCGAGGCGCGGAGGACTGGTGGCAACGCAGCGCATAGGGCCCACGTCCGTCTGTCCCGTTGCTCTCAAGCAGAGATCTTGGGGCTCTCATTACAGAGAAAGCTGCTTTGCAGGCCATCTTAGGAAAATTATTTTTTTATTGTTTGGAGTATAAAAGTAGAACTAAAGACACATTGTAAGTGGGCTGCGAAGGTCTCTGGTGCTTGCCAAGCCAACTCGGTTTTAGATCAGCTACAGAGCTCCAGTTAGATTTGGCCCAGCTCTGCTATCTGACTCTGTGCCAAGTTACCTAAATTCTCTTTGCTTCAGCATCTGAAAAACGGGGCTAATGATACCAGCCTCTGGAAAGCAGGTCTGTGGATGTAAAACAGTGTGTTTCAGCTATATAATGTACATAGTTTGGATAGGAAATTCTACGTTACTGGAACCCTCATGAATTCAGCAGTCATGTTTCTAGAAGACAGTGTGAGATTTATATTCCTTTAAGCCTGCAAAATTTCAGCATCTGGAGGAGTTTCACTGCTTCCCTTCAGGTATTGGGGAAAAAGCAAAGCAAAAAAAATTACCAACAACCTGGAAATGCCTGCCAGCAAAACTCGTTTCTGCATTGATGGCTCTCAACTGATTTTCTGGCGTCAACTCTCTATCCCACAGCTATAGCTAGGAAACCAAAATGCCAGCTTGTGTTAATGTTTGGAGCTTCCTGGAAAGCAGAAAAGCCAAGCAGGCACTCGCGTGACTGGGTATTTGCTGCACGAGCCTGGGTTAGAGCCTGCCTGCAGAAACAGTAAATTCTTTCGGGGCCGGTGGCGCACGCCAGCCCGCTGCCTGCTGTTTGCAGAGTGCCTGGGTGCAAGCAGGTATCTGGTGGGCTCACTGGCCAGTAAGCTGACTTAGTTTTCATTTTATGCCTATTTAAATAGGCAAGCATAAGAAATACAAAAGTGATTTGTTTGAATGACATTGGGTGTTGATCTGTTAAAAATGGGGGTGTAAATGTACAGGCAGTGAGAAGCTGTCTACGCGCAACAGAACAGCTTATCTAAACTACTCGCTGTATCCAACAGTGGCTGCATCAGGACGCTTCACGGAACGGGGCAAGAGCCTTACGTGGGTCTCATTCAGCCCTCCAGTACGCTGCCCTAACTAGAGGTGCTCCCATCTTTTCAGTCTGTGATATACTGCAAATGCCACTCTTGGAGCTCAGATGTAGTTTAATATTAGTCTTAAAAACTGTCTTGTGGCTTGAATGCTGTAGTCTTCCACTTGGTTGAATTCTCAAATTCTCTTTCCCCATATGCAGGAATAATTCTTTTCAATGTGCCACTGTTTTAACTCACAGGTTTTTTGGTTTTATTTTTGAATTTAATTATACCAAGCCATTTAAGGTAGATATGCAGCATCCCCTGCTTCAGCGTGGCTGTCAAAGAGGAGTGGAGTTACAGCAACACTGTGCTCAGTCATTCACCGGGCAGGTTAAAATGCGCGTGGCAGAATAGGTGTGAGCTTGTGCTCAGAGTGCTTTCCTTGGGGTGTCTGCTCATTTTCCTCTCTTTTGACTCAGTGCAAAGCCACTGGAGCTATTCTGACCAAAAGCCAGAACCCTTGTAGTGGAAAACACAGAAAGGTTCATAGGTTTAGCAATTTGTTATTTCTGTTATTCTTGGGATTCTTATGCTGATAAAACCAGTCATAATATGCCAAAAGTACTATGTACACGTGGGACGCTGTCAATAGCATGGAGTTCATCAGGATGCCACTGATTTAAATGTATTAATCTTTCTTTTAAAGGCAGGAGAAAACCCAGGAGTCAGTCAGTCCAGGCACACACTGCTTTAAACCAAAGGCCCCCTGCTTCAAGTCACTCTGGACCAATTGTAGAAGGCCGCCAGCCTTTCATCCAAACGTCTACATCTGCCCACGAAATCGCCCAAAGGCTTTCTAGTAGTCAGCTGTCATTCCACAACTCGGCAACATCTGTGTTTTCCCAGTCCCCCGCTGTTCCTGTTGCTGGCCAGCTGACTGTGCAGGACCGAGCTGCAGCGATGCTCAGGTCCAGTCTGGCCTCTTCCACCAGCTCAACTCTCAGCCTGCTGTTCGGCAAGAGAAGTTTTTCAAGTGCGTTGGTGATTTCTGGGCTCTCAGCTGCAGACGGAGGTAACACCAGTGACACCCAGTCATCCAGCAGCATGAATATCGCCATGGGTCCATCTGCTAGAGCAGCCAGTCAAGCGACTCGGGTAAGGCTGAAGCCAAAACAGCAGTACTAAGCGTGAGCTACTATACTGCTCTCCTATCAGGTTCTTGAACTGCCCTCACCACCATTTAGTTTCTTCCTTCTCACTGGTCAGAAAATAGTCTTTCCCAAAACAATGTCACGATGTTGGTATTTGTTTTGTATTTTGCTGCAGCAAATGAAAACGAGACTGTTTAATATTAGTGTGTACATGAGAGTGGTGTATTTGTAAGTAAGCGACAGGTTGGCTGTTAAACACGCACCTGGAATTGCACACTGGGGCAAAGTCCCTCTTCCTTTCACTCAGACCGAGGACTTCAGTCTTCATTTTCTGCGGCCCAGGTAATGAGTACCATCATAAGCAAACTAAATAGCTCCTTCCTTGCTTGCGTACGCAGGCCTTACTTATTTGTACAAAGAGGAACGGTTCCCACTGAACAGGGCACTTGTTCTGTCCCTCTCTCTGACCAGAAATTCAATCCGGGACCTGAAAACCTCGTTGCTGAAAGGGTTAGTCAGAGGAAGGCTGTAGGCAATATTTCCCAAAGGAAACCTGCGTGCCCTGTGATTCAGCATTTTCTAATGGCAAAAGAGTACACACAAAGAACTTCCAGCCCTCTTCCCAGTAGGCTCCCAGTTCTGTTCCCGTCTTGCCTGGAAAACTGAATGCACATAGTAGTGTTATTGTTTTATTGCCTACTTAAGTATATTTATTTAACTTTGGTTGGCATCAGCTGCTTTCCTGAATTTTGAAACTTTCACCTCAGCACTACAGAGCAGTAATGTGAGAAGCTGGACTAGATATAAAGGGCGACTGCAACTAGAGGCTGAGGGACAACATAATTAAGACAGACTTTCGCATTTGGCCTATCAAAATGGAAACCAGATTGGTCACAGGGGAAGACTGTGGATATGGAAAGTCCAAAACACTTTTCTGCTACTATCATTCTGAACTGTGTATAACTTCCCTAATTTTCAAAGAATTCTCCAAACCGCAGGTGAAAAAAGCTCCTTAGCCTGTGTGTATTTTGCTCTCAACCCAAAAATACCATGTATGGTACAGTTCCCTGGAGTTTTGCCGTGAACTTCGACAGAAGTTGACTGAACGTTACTCATCTGGGTCCAATCCTGCTTTATTACTCTAACGAGCATTAATAATATCTCTACATGTACAGCTGAACATATCAGCTGACAAGGCATAATTCCAGCTCTCAAGAGTTTACAGCCCAATTTGCAAGAACTCAGCCAGCCTGCGATACTGAGTAGTAATGGTAGGATTCACCTCGTCTAACTTTCAGCCGTCTAAAGCTCGGGCACGAAGTCTCGGCAGATTGTTGGCGTGGCCTCTGTGTTCAGCGGAGAGGACAATCCACGTCATCCTTACAGCTGTCAGGAAGAAATCTTCCGCTGGGACGCTCCTATCTCCCTGCCAGCCACTGACAGCCTAGGTGATACCCTACGACTACGTGGTTAAGTTTAGATGAGGGAGTCCTGGCCAGGGTAACTGCTGAGAGTCCAGGTGCCTGTTTGATTGAAAGGGGTACGGAGGAAGTGTTTTATTCAAACGTTAACACAGCACAGTTCTGGAAAGCTTTTATATTAATGGACTCCTTACACTGGGGTGACACTGCACGTAACATTTTTAGACTGATAATTGCATTCCAGTTTTGATGAAAAGGTTTCTTTGTAAGTTGGATTTAAAAATTGGTGTATAAAGCAAGCCCCAGAGCAACCCGATTTAACTTCTTAGAAGTCAGCCCTGCTTGGAGCAGCGGTTTGGACTGGATGACCTCCAGAAGTCCTTTTCAATCCAAATTATTTTACAGCTCTCTGTACGTGTACATCTGTGGTACTAAACCTCTACCTCCCGGTCTGCTTTTCTTTCCAAATTTATGCGTTACACAAAGTGTGACAAGTACCTCTTCAGAAGTCCCTCGTGAATAATGCATGTTAAGAATCCGTGCAGTTTCACAGAATGACATTCCTAAATCAATTTTTAATTTTTTCACCTGTCACTTCAAAAATAGCTGAAGTGTTACTTAGAAATTTCCTAAACTAGTTGCCTTTTTCTTTCTTTCTTCCCAGCAACTCACCGAGACCTGCGAAGCAACCGATGCTACAGAATCTAGACCACGGCGAGAGGCGGGTCCGGCCCATGCCATATTCATGAGTCAGAACCTGGAGTGCAGAAGGGCCAGCCAAGAAGATATGGCCCTGGAAGACACCGCTTCTCAGCAAAGCCTGTCTGAGGAGCAGTAAGGAGTATTCCCAGCACAAGGGCCACGCGCTGCTTAGAACTAAATAAAGACAGAGTTAGGTCAGGGAGCCACACGTGGGTTTCGGTTCTTTCAAATGTAACAACCAACCTCCAAATGTTTATTTTTCTAACTTCTACACAAGAATACTACGGGGCAGATGTTCTTCAGCTACAGGCCTTGGCATAGGTAGGGTTGGAAGATGTCCTAAAAAACACACAGTGCCACTTCATCTCAGGTTCTTGTAAATCCTAGAACAATGAATACAACCTGTTTAACGCTCCTTCCCCTGCAACGGTTGGAATCATGAATGAATACAGTGGGAAATATTAATGTAACTCAGTGAAAAGCACACAAGACATCTCTTTCCTGCCATAACTAAACAGCTGATTGCATGCAAACTAATTGGCGTTTGATATATAACATATAGCAAAAGGCAACTTTGAACAGAAGCAATGAATACATAAAAGGACAGTACAACTTGTACTGTAACATTAGAGCTAAATCTGATTTTTTTTTTCCAACAGCAAATCTCTCTTTTATTTTTCTGAGATTCTGAATAGCAACATAGCATCACAGATTGATATACTGCATGCAGCCATATTGAAATATTCTGTGAACGAGCCACGCTACACAGATTAACAAAAGTGCGAGAAAAGAAAGTACCCAGTGCATGGAAAGCCTTCAAAGCATACGGTGCACCTTATTTGCAAAGAAAGCAGCTTTGCATAAACACCTGCTCGTAGGTATTATCTCGTGCTCCTGTTTGGTTTACAGCAGTGTTTCTCAAATTCCAGGCAACAGCCCCCTTGGGAGTTGCAGAAGGGCCCAGGCGAATCCTCCTCAAGGACAGGAAAGTGCAAAGCAGGCTGTAATTATTGTCTGGAAGTGTTTGTATTAGGAGGGGAACTCTAAATGCCTTTAATTGCTGGACACAGCTCAGTGTCCATAAATACTTGTAGCCAGTAATTACAAAGCGTTCCGATTTCCCTCCCCCAGAGAAACTGGGCTGCTGCCAATTTAATAGTTGCATAAAGACAGATGATGCAAAAAGGGAGGCCGCGCTTTCACAAAGTTTGAGAAACACTGATTTACAGGAATGCATGACTACTTCGGAAGCCGAAAGGCTACAACAAATCCTTCCTCTACTGCAGCATCTAAACACACACGCCGTGTTCTCCTCATTCTTCTTTCTTTTTTTTTTTTGAATTAAAAAAATTGCAGCTATCAGCGTCTTGCTGTTCCTCTTTACTGTAACTACCATAGATTGTTGCTAATTCTCAACACGATGATGTGCAGCCGGCTGTCTTGTCCCAATTAACAAGAAAGATTTAACAGGAGATGCTGTAGCTAAGTCTCATTACTGTTAGGCGATACACAGTTGCGTTCTGAGCTTCCTACTGTGCCACACTTAAGACTATAAGTAGTAGAACTAAATAACACCTAGTGAAAATAAAATGATCCAAGTATGTTTTGTGTGGTAGCAGTTTCTGGGTTTTCTTTTTTTTATTTTGAATTGGTTTTGCTTGCTTTCTGCCTTATGAAATTGAGACATGTATTGTTTTTCTTTCACTTCAGAGCTTGATGAATTGATTATTTATAAAGCTCAGCACAACCTAGGCAAAATTCTGCTCGTGTTCGCAAGGGCAAAAGCAGAGCCTTCCCGTACGGCCCCCTGAGACGCAGGGTCACCAGAGGGGTTTAGGCCCTCCTAACCCAGGTGTGATGCGGAAGAGGAAATGGAACTCGGCTGCTCCCCTCTGACCATTTCTGGCAGATCGCACCTCTCCTCCCACCGCCCCGCTTATGAAGTGCTTCCTTACAAATGAAGGCTGGAGCTTATACAGGTAGGTGGAGGGCTCTTACCGACAGCCACCAGCCCCGTTTCTGGCTTGGGGGCTTTTGCATGGCAGCCTACTAAGATAAAGCATCACCGCTTTCTCTTCCTAAACCCTGCCTTGCACGGAGGCAGGGCAAACAGGCGGTCGTGGAAAGCACTAAAAACTTTCCCCTATTCAGTTAGCCTCACTTAGGCCTCCAATTTTCACATCTCTAACTTACGTCTGAATTAATTTCCATCAAAAATAAGTAACTCCAGTAGTCCCAATCAACTTGAATTATTCTGTGTAGTCAACTCAAGCGTACTAAACCAGACTGGGAAACAGCCACACAAATCCTTCCAGCAGCAAGCTGCTCTATCTGCTCAGCGCAGACTAAGGCCCAGCAACACCACCTTCCCACAGCCCCACATCTTCTGTAAGAGACTCTACCACCCCCCTGGCCTCTGGTACTGCATCCTAAGATAACGCAGCTGCCTCACAGTTCTTGGCTTAGTTCAAGCCACCAGCCCCTGGAGCGTAACTCCCTGGGGACAGCAGCGTGCCATGAAGCCCAGCCTCCTGCTGCGCAGCCAGAAAAGGCACATCCTAACTCCTTTGTTGAGGCGCGGTGCGCAAGCAGGAGTCACGCTAAGATTCAAAAATTAGTTCCTTTCCATAGCCATGTCTTTCTTACTCAGTTTTTATTGTGCCTTAAAGTTGTTACTGTAGCATAGTGGGTTGAAAAAAACCAAAGAGTGACCATTAACAGTAACAAAGACAAAATAAATCGAAGATGACCCCATAAACTCTCCCATGTTACATTTCTCCATAGTTTTGGAGCTAGTCTGCTGTTCTTAATGAGACTACTGCTACATGCGGTGTTTTTAAATATGGGCCGATCCTACAGAATAATCAGACACGATGGTTAGAAATAAAACCTGGAACTAGGTGTGAGGTTGTATTGATTAAACACACCTTAGACCTCCCCCCGTGTCTGCATGAGGCAGAGAGAGACCTGATTACTCTCTACATGACAGAAGACGCGTTTAAGGCTCTGATGCACACAAAGGTACCTAACCTTTACACAAGGCCTAGTTGCAACAGTGAGCTGCTCAGAACAGCTCTGCATAGCACCAAAAGGCACCCAAGTCCATAGGAACGCTGTTCTCAGCACTAGTGCCTACAGATACACAAAGGCTTTAAGCCATACTTTTATTCCTGAAAGACCTAAGCAGCTTGATACTTACCTCACACACGAGGTGCTTCAGAGTTGCAAGCTGGACGTACCTATGACGCCTCAGGAACCCCACCTGTTGGGCAGTTTTGGGCTCTGAATGAAAAGCAAAGATGACTTCCACTGCTTTTAAGTCAGCTGTGGCACTGATCGTAGGTTTCACAGTGCGTAACGCTGCTGTTGAAACTTGGCCCTGAAGTTGCTCGGGCTGAAGAGTTTGCCTACGCTGTTCCATGTCTGATCTCTTACCACCACTGTGATGCAGGAAGGATGGCCACCACGAACACATAAGTACCGCTTATATGCAGTTCCATTTGGTGTCAGTTTTGAAGATTCAGGTGCTATGCTTGAATTTTTCCAGAGCTGCAGAGGCCGCTTACTGAGCAGGGGCTGAAGGCCTGCCCGATGCTCATTCAGCCAGCCCAGAACCTTCTTGTTTCTACAACCTGAAAGCAGTGACACTCGTGTCTCGCTAGCAAGCTGAATGCGTCCTTTGAGGAAATCAAGAACTCGGTCCACAAGAGCATTTGGTCCATGTAGTATTTTCACAGACATGTCAGAAGGGATGAAGAGATGGAGGCCCTATCTGCCTCCCCCCAGCTTAACCCCAGATAACATCACCACTGCTCCAAAGAAACATCGGGAGTGGTTTTACCCACGCTGGCTCAGCAGGGCCCTCACAACCAGGGAGGAACGCACACAGTACAGCAGGCTACAGGCAGGAGGACAACGAGCATATGGTAAAACAAGCACACGCACAGTACTTCAGCCCTTGCATTAAATGTGGGATACTTACCCCCCCTTCCCATTTTGTTTTCCTACACTCCTTTCACTAACAGGCTCTGGCTTACATCACACAGTAAAAGCCAGACGCTACGCTCCTAAGGGTGAAACACGGCCCAAAGATCTGGTGAAAAGACTTTTAGTAACATTTGACCAAAGCCAACCCCAGGCTGCTGAACTGCTCACACCCACCAGGTACGCTGGCAAGGCCCCAGCCTGGCCTCCAGCCCGGCTGTTTCCCACCACGGCGCGCAAGTAGGAAACAGCGATGGGCACAACGTCCAAAGTTCGTTTCTGTTCATCCAAAAATACAAATGCTGGAGGTCCTGCTGCTCCCTCCATTTTGAAGTGTCATACAAACTTCTTCTATGGGAGGAACTGGAGTTCTCATTGAAAAGTCTCACCTCCTTCCCCCAGAGAGAAAATCTTGGCATTCATTGCATTTAAGACAAATGTTAACGAAAAGGACTTACCAGTGTGAGTCTTTTTCCCTCAACAAGATGGCCAGATACTCTCAATATCTATGAATGACATTCTGAAACTATTAAGTTCTTAGGAGTCTGTGTGACACCACTCTCAGCTTTTTTTAAAAGCTATTTATTAGAATAAAGCAAGAAATGTCATCTGCATTTGGCTCCAACCCACCAACTGACTGCTCTTCTCTTGCTGGGGAATTTAAGTTAAAGGTTAGCTGAACTTTGCGCAGCTCATTTTAGAAGATTAGAATTACCAGTGAAATTCTCCAGCATGTAATAATCAACTTCTCATCAATCCGTATTTTTTAACTACTCAATTATTGCCATATTTAGATTACTCCCTGGATTGGGAGCTGGTATTTAATTACAATGTTTCACTAGTGCTTGCACATCCTTAAATCTGCAACACAGACGTATTCCTTATAATTAACTTTGCAGTAGGTCAAGTGTTAAAAGATTCACCTCTGTCGTTCAGCCTTCTCAGAGTTTCACAAGTCAAAAATTGTCTAATGCATGATAAATAATGCAGGCCCTGTTTATTCCACGCTGTGTGCAATTTTATGTTGGAATTACAAGCCTCCTTGCCAAAAACGTCCTTGATTCTGGGGCTTCGAGAGAGTAATTGGTACCTCATATTCTCCCCTTTTTTGCACCAATTAAAACCTGCAGGTGCACTAATGTTGTCATCTGGAATCTTGCTGGTACATCAGAGCCTATTTTCACCAAATGTGTGCTATTAGTAAAATCGGCCCATCAGGGGAATTGTGAATGCTCCGTTTGTTGTTACAGTGCTCTCAAGGCCTTCCAAATATTTTACTAGTGCAAGACCAGACAATAAATTTTTACCTCTAAAGTAAACACAGAGTGTCATAAAACCTTAATTCCGTTGGAAATATTACTTTCTTACTCACTCGATGTATATTTGAAACAGGTGAATCATTTCTTCAGGACTGTCTCAGATTTAAAGGCCAGACGTGACTGTTAAGGTCATCTAGGATCTCCTGCTGTTGAAAAGCCCTCTAGCTCACAGAGAAGATGGGCTTAAAAAAAGAAGAACAAATTAAAGACTCTCACCAATCCTGAGACAAGTAGCAGAAAGCAAGAGCCACGAATGTCATTAGCAAAAATACCCTTTGATTTAAAAGGGCTGTTGCTTCACTCACAGCTCCAGTGAAGGAAAAATCCACCTCCATTTTGGAAGTTTTTCCAGTGACTGACCACCCTCACTACAAAAGGTCTTCCTTGCACTATGAGACAATGGCTTAAAAGTGCACTGGCCCCAAGTTCCCCAAACTTGTTACGATTCTTTTTTCTTTTTTCTCGTCTGTTAAGCGATGGGACTACAGTAGGCACCGTGGCACTACATGCAGGGCAATATATCTACTTTTATGAGGAACAAATACCACTTTAAGTGATGAACTCCCAACAATACTGGCTGAACTGCAATTTGGAAAACTGAACTCTGCCATCACTCCTGAAGGAAATCCCCTCCCCAGCCTCCACAGAGAAGTGTCAAATATCTCCGTTTTATTTAGCTTTAAAAGTCCCACTAAAACCTTGCTAGACTTTGGGAAATTATTTAATCATTGAAAGAACTATTCTTTTGCAGCATATTTTACAGCTGAAGAGACTTAACATTGGAACAGTAGGATATCCAACACTTTAGTGCAGAGAAGTTTCTGTTTGAAAGTCTATGGCACGTAGCCCTGAAAAAGTTTACTGTGGTCCCAAGTCCTTCACCTCTAACAAGGTGTCTTGTCCGTGTAAGATGCCTGAAGTAATTAAGGGATTAGGGATACCTTCAGGGCACAGCCCTATTTTGCAAAAAGCAGCCAGGAGCTGTATGTTCACATAGGAGGGGGACCCTGAGAGGAATTCTCTTTTTCCCAAATACGATGAAGACGATGCTGCCATCCAAACGGATTTGCGCAGAATGGTAGCGTAAGGGGGCAGTCAGGGAACAAGGCCACGGCATCCTTCAACATGGTGCGTACCTCCTACCATCTGTGGAGGGGCAATGTTTGTACCAGACCCTTGTTCTGAATGTAAAAAAAAAGAAAAGACATCCCCTCCACGCTCCCAGCTGTTTCCAGGGCACCTGTAAAAATGCCTGTCCCCATCCAGCCCCCTACAACTTTGGGTGTCAGTTTTGCAGAAATAAATAACTAAACTGATATTTGAAAATGCCTTTAAGTAGCTTGCTCATTTTAACAGTTGTTGAACTGAACAGAAAAAAGTTAAGCAGCGACTGAATGCTTAACAACTTTTTAAAGCCAGACATGACTATAAACCGTACAATGAAGAAGTATGCACCTGGGAGGGAATTCTGTTTTCACAACATGAAAACTGATTAAGTGGTAGCACTTTCCCTGAACACATTTGCACACCTCATAGGGAAACGCATTGTCTAATACTCTCAAACACTTCTTATTTGACCATTAACCATGAAGCACGTACAGAATTGAAGAAGGAAAAAAACCCAACCAAACAAAAAGTATCAATAAACAGAACAGATTGGGAAACCCATATAGACAAATGCAGTATTAAGTTGATCCTGACTTAATAAACTCTACATGAAAAACACACGTCAAGATTTGACTGAACTTCATGGACTTGAAGATTTATATATATAATTTTTTAAGGGGGTGCAAGGCAGGATTGCCATCAGAAAGTTGAAAATAAATCCAAAATCCACCCCTCTTATCAACTACTGTCTGGGCCACTTAGGAGAGGGTAGAGGTGGTTATTTGTCCTCCTGAAGTGGAGTTCTGCAAATGTCACTTGGGACTACAGGAAATTTCCTGGAAATTCTAGATTACCCTTCTTATACCCCAACTGGAGAGAGGGGTGTCTGGGGGTAGGGGGAGAGCATCTGCTTATTCCTTCTACCTCATGAATCGTCAGCACCCGTGCTGAAACACACTTGGCCACACCTAAGCAGGGTAACCGACAGCAAAGGTATTTCTACAGGCAGAGCACACATACATTTTGGGCAGGGTTCTGTTCTGTTACAGCAGGGCTAAGCTCCAGGTACAGAGTTGCTCTCTAGCCAGAACAGTCCACACCACACTCTGAAAGACTAAGATCTCAAACAGATTTGACAGTTAATTGCTTTTACATGGTGTAACTAGGATCAGAGTCAGACCACCTAACTTCCAAATACACAGATTAGAACTGGATGTTAACTACGCATCTCTTCAATTTTTTTGAATGGATCAGCTTGTGAACTGAATAAACAAGAATCCTGCTATCTCATTTTCACATTTTAGAGTATTACCAGCTTTACCTTGCTTACCCTGAAGGCTCCAGTAAAGCCTCCAGGGGCTAAAGCAGGAAGGACAGACTCTAAAACATCCGCAAAATGTTGTAATGTTTTGTTAAAATAAAAGCTTTAGTGTTTACAGGCAGGAAAAGGTCTTCATTTTCTGCAGGATTCCACAGCTGCCAAGATGTCTTGCAAAATGCTGTTTCTGTTTTCCTTACTAACCTAGAGAAAGAGAAATTAAAACTGATGTAATTTGATGAATAACCTGTATATGAGTGTTTACTTCAAAAACAAAGCAGAAATTCAAATGCATTTCTTTCTCAGTGGAGGAATGTTGAATGTCAAACACCTGCCTTCTTCTGCTACTCAGAACACAATAAGCTAAACCCACAAACCTGCATATGTAATTGAATATTCAGTGATCTTTTTGATTTAATTACCCACGGTATTTTGCAGTATTATTCAGGGCTTGAATAACTGACAAGAATCGCTCGAAGAACCAGCATGTACTTTTGTCATTACTAGAAATCCCTTTCAATTACCAAATATGATTTTCCTGCTACGAAGTGGAGTTCTTATGCCTTCAGTACTTGAAAGAGTTGTATTTATTAGGATGACAGACCTAGTCAAAAACATCTGCAATGAAAAAAAATTAAAACAGGCTTAGCAGCGCAACTCTGTATTCCGAGAAACCTTAGCACTGCAGGATAGAACCACCTTGAAAAAGAAGTAAGATTACTTGACAAAGCTGGGGGGCTTTTGTAGCACACTGAGGTACGCCTTTGGTTGATCAGTCCATGGAAATGTTGGGCTTTAAGACCAGTACATGTGAAAATCCATACAGTCCAGCGTCCTGTCTTTTGCTGGGCCCATCTGCACTGCAGCACGTGCAGGTTACTGTAAACTGCCAAGCAAATGCCAGCACTTGCTAGTCAGCTCAGCTCCCAGGTGCAGCAACGACAGAGCACAGAGCTGGTGGGGGGTGTGTGTGTAAATTACCCCTTCTTGAGAGACTGGGTCCTGGTACAGAGCCCAGTGACCCACAGTGCCACGCATTACGAACTCAACCAAAACCTGGGGAAATGGCTGGGGTGGTGAAAGGGTTAACAAGCAATTGTGAAGTGTCAGCAAAAGCTTCATTTCAGAAAGCCTAAGAAATTTTCCCCGCTGTTCAGGTCCCTGCAGAGAGGGCAGGAAGAAATCAGACAAAGACAGATGAGCCAAAAAGAAGTAAGGGCGTTCATATTTTTAACAAAGTTTGAGAAATGCTGTTTGACGAGGAGGGAGAGACACCACACTATGCGTGGCATAAAACTCTCTACCAGCAAGGTTTCACTGCATCCCCTGTAGCTGCATTTAAGATCTGAGCACAAGGGTTTGTATCCCTTTCAGTACTACAGTCAATACTGAACAGGAGAAAGTATTATTATTTTTAAATAGGTGACAGTCCTACCTGAGGAATTTGGCCCTAGGAGCCTACTGCTATTTACAGTCACAGACATCCTATCCAAATGCTGGAAACCAACTCTGTAAAACCTAGAGACGGTGGTCTCACCTACGCCACTTGAATTCCAGAGAGCAGATCAACACGGGACTGATGAAAAAGTAACATTAAAAAAAAATGAATGAAAGGGAAGATCTGCCTGAAAGTGTTGCCGATTTTATTGTATATCATTCCAAGCCTATTACAAGATAAACAGAAAACCCCACAATAACAAAGAGAGCAAGACAACAAAGAATGGAATTGCTCTTCAGTAAGGCTATTGAGAGACCCCACGGTAAACAAGGCACAGAGCATAGATCAGCCAAACTCTAAATCTCACAGCAAGTGTCCCAATATCCTGACTTTCAAAGGACCTTCTGAACATTTAATAGCTCTTCCCGCTGTCTCACAGCCAACAAAAACAATACTACATTTTATCTATCCCTTTTCCATACCTACATGCCAGAAGTCCAGTGAGAGCAGCAGAGAAAAAGTGCCAAGCGCTGGGAAATTTTCACAACTGTTTTACAAAGGCTGCTTGATAGATACAAGTCTCCTCTTACGATCTGGAGACATTCTGTGCAGGCAGCTTTCCCAGAGAGAACAAATCTCCCAGTATCTTACTGAATGTTCAAACAGATGGGTACATTTTTAGACAGGGAGTTGAAAATAACTGTAGGTGCTGCTTATACTGAGCATTTAGATAATCTGGAGGAAACTACCACCTAGACTCCAAGCAGGCAACAGTAGAGGACAAAAGCTTTCTTCCCCCACGTGTTAAAGTACTGTCAAGGAAACCCCTCTTGTACAGTCTGTTCAAACGGAATCTTTTCTTCTTCTGATCCATTTAACTATTTATTTTCTTTCTTAAAAGGCATACACAACCAAACTTCACTAACGGGTTTCATGGAAGCAAAATTAATAGATGGGAAAATGGGAGAAAATGAATACTTGCCAGCTGCTAAGGATAATCTGATCCTGTTTACAACACCGTGTCTGCAAAACTACACAGACCCGGGCAGTGCAAAAAGAGCCTCTGTAGTTTCACTGGAAAGTTTAGTTCTCAGCAAAATGGAATTGGGCAACAATGGAAAGAAATGTGTTAAATAACAGAGCTCCTATGGCTAAGTGCTCTAAACGTAATAAATTAAACATTTGGGACCAAATCCTCAACTCCTTTTAGGGCACCTGGGCCCATTTACACCAACTGAATATGCTTTCAAGACAGAAGGGACTGTAAAACCCCAAACAGCTGTCTCTACGCACTTAGCATCAAACGTCAGAACTGTCCTTGCGACACTAAGAGAAGGATGAGAAAACCCTCCTGAGTTACGTGAATGCAGCCTAACTCCATATTCAGTGACAAAGCAGGCAGAACTTTCTTTTGGAAGGTAGCCACCTGCTTCTGCACACTTCCAGGCACCATAAAAGTTAGTAAGAAATTACTGACCATGAGCTATTTGGGCACTCCAGGTTCTCCCCATGCCACAGCCCTTGAAGAACATAGCTGGTGACCCAGTATTTACTTCAGCTAGTAACACCTCTGACTCCCCACGGGCAGGTTCTGTTCCTGCTCATGCACACGTTTTAACTAGCTGGGAAAGAGCATGGCGTGTGTCACTGGAGCAAGCGAGACAGATGCTCTCCTGCACAAGACTTTAGTATAGCAGGTCTCTGCCACCTGGGAACTGTTGCAGGCTGTCACTCATTTCACACCCATGCGTTTGGCTAACGGACTCACCAGAGAAATCTCTTTAAACAAAGAAACCTGCATGAACCCTAATCTCAGCAGCATAAACAGGATGGCTCATTCTTTTAGTAAAGTTGTTTTTAGCTAGAGAAAACATTGCTCCATTGAAAGGAAGACATACAGGAAGACTTTTGCTGGCTGTAGTCAGTACCTAAGAGAAAGATCTATTGGCAGACTGATACAGCTAACAACCCGGGGCTCAGTGGCACACGGCCTCAGAACATCACCTGCTAAAAAGAGACAGCGGAAGCCTCAAAAGCTTCCTTGAAAAGTCAAATGCTGTTTTCTAGCGCTCTATTTCCTCCCCTGAGAGGACCAAACACACACTATTGCCCTGCCGGGACTGCAGCCTAAGCACCGAATGATGGTTACTTTCGGTGAGGCATTCTCCATTCCCTCCTCCCCAGTCCTACCACTGGAAAGCAAGTCACGTAAAATTCGCATCCCTGTTCAGGAGCCTGACAACTAACGCACATCAGCTTGTCAGTGGGAAACCTGGGGTTTCACCTCTGAAAGGAATGGTAGGAGTTGAATGCTTATGTGAGGAAAGGAATCTTCTCTCATCTTTGCCCCTAGTATTGCTTTGGCACTAAATTAAACAGGCATTTAATTTAAGAAACATAAATTAAAGATGATGATGGGACCACCAACTAAAAGAAAGCTGAGGAACTTTTCTGAGCACTGCAGTTTTACTAATCTCGCTTTGAAGAGGAAAAAAGAAGATGGAGGCTTTGCTTTCTCTGCAGTAATTACGATCATTCAGTAGAAAGTTGCTGATAGTGTTTTTTCCTTCCTCATGCACTTGGGTGAAAACAAAGTAAGCATTCTCACTGTGATGCGCATCTGGTAAAGAACAGGCTGCAACAGTATACTGCTCTACAGCATATTACCCCGTTAGTAAGCCAGGATGTGTAAGTCCCACTTACTGAATTTATAATTTATAGAGATGCAGAGTTCAGTTTTGGATATATAGCTTTATTCTCTACTATAAATAGTACACACAGAAAAATAAATCAAAGGAGTGGGGGCTGCGTATAGCTTGTTTTTGTAAAGCATCCAGGACACTTAGAGATGTTAAGGAAACCTCACCCGTGTATTCCTCTGAACAGGCTATGTTTTCTTGTGATAAGTTTTTGAGAACCTCCCTGTAACTGATCAGAAAGGCACTTTGAGGCCTTAACATTCTGAAAATTATGTCTGTAAAAACAACATAATGAATTCCAAAATTGGTTCGCTGACTCCAGAGAAAGTACACTCCATTTACAAGTGTCTTTCTTCTAGAAATCATTTCTGCAAATTCCACTACTGCCTTTTTTTTTTTCTTGAATATGATTACTGGTAATATTTCTGCGAGCCAGTCTGGAAAAAAAAAAAAAAATGAAAAATCTGACTGTACTTTAAAAGATTTAACTCTTAGGAATAATGAATACTTATATGGCAATAATACTACAGCAAGAAAACCTTTTAAAACAACTATATCATTACTTCTACAGCTCCTCACAAGCAAAGCCAGCTGTGTGAGACTGCTACAGTAAATGCCAAATGTGATTTTTTTTTTTAATAAGGCGAACACCTGCCCATTAAGAATAAAATGGAAACTAAAAAAACTTATTTCATACAAGCTACCCACAGCTATCAATTGGTAGTACCAATTAGTCTTTAAACTGAGCCAAATACAAACCAGCAACCTAGAACAGAAGGCTCTTTAAGGATATTAAATATTACTCACATTGAACACTTTAACATCTTTCCTACTTCTTATTTCTTCAACAAGATCCAGTGGCTTTCCCTTAGGTATTGGAATAGTTCCAAGCACCACGGTCCCTGAGCCAGTCAGCGTTTGACGAACAGCTTGAATAAAAGCTTGGCTGAAGAGTTCCATTTTACCAATCTCATCTATGACACAGATTTGTTTCTCTGCACCACTGCCATGGTTCACCTGTGGAAAAGTGCATCAAGAGACTGTAAAGAACACAGAACTCAGAACAAGCAACAGAAATAATTTTATGCTAGTAAAAGAAATATCTCCAAAAGAAATCAATTCAATTGTAATACTGGGGAAAGTGGAAGAGTCAAAGCTGCTGCTGGTAACTGACAGACTTCTAAATCTATCATTTCTATTTCAGCACAGATTTTTGGAAAGATGAAAATATATGTACAGCATAAATACCAACTACAATAGGAACTATCCATAATATCAGTTATCCTTCAAAGCAGAATTCTCACAATGGTCCCATACAAGCTATTTGACAATTAAGAACTGCACTTTGCCTACTAGCAGCTCTCAATCAATCTCAGGGACACCAATTTTTCAAAACTTCACTCTTCCCATCAAATTATGCATTTAGAATAGATAAATATCCATACAACACAAGTATTAAAAAAAAGGACTTGCATTAAATCTAGATTTGGAAGTTTCTCCTCTTGTAGCTGGGTCAAAGGAGGGTCAAAACTAGCATTTCTCTCAGAACACCTAGCTTTCTTCAAAGCTATCTGTATAACAACCAAGCTGTTTCCAAGCCTCTCTCACATCAGAACATTCACCTTCCATTTCTTTGTTGAGATACAGCTCATTCTATAGTCCTAGCCATCCCCCTGGATCATAGGATAGGCACCATACTAATGATTAACCACACTTGTGGTCTGTTTGTTTTTTTCATGAAGTGAATACTGTGCCAAGCAGTACCGTGCTGCAGACTGCTGTGAGCAGCAGAGAACCTAGGAGAGAACATGGGTGATTCCCACTGAGGGAAAGGCAACTCAGAAAGCAGAGGAACTATTCAACAGAAAAGGAAGTGCACTGCCTACCCGCTCTTGGTAAAAGTAACTGGGAATTGCACTCCATTATTTACAGAAGTGAAAAGGAAACCAACTCAAGTCAAAACATCACTGTAGATCCATGAATACATACCAATACCAGCCATGTTATACAGAACCTAAAAAAAAAAAAAAAAATTCTAAATGTTTTCCCTTGGGAAGGCAAAGTATTTGCTTCTGGGAAAGTGGAAAAACTGTATAACATGCATCCTAAAATCTTTTCAAGTGAAGTCCCTGCTGAGTAGCTGTTTTATCCAAAATCCTTTCATAGATGAGTGAGCTAAAAAGCCAATACTAGTCAGTAGGTCACACACTGACAAACAGAGCATTTTGCTTTGAAAAAAAATCCTCGGTCCTGCCTGGTAAAGTTTCCAGAACCAGAGAGATCATCCATTGTAGGATCTACCCCTGTTCTCACTGGAGTGAATGAGATCCAAGCCTTAAGAGCTGAAGCTGTCCTCCAGACTGAATGGGCACATGCCCACTCTGTGCTCCTCTCTGATCAAACCAGACCATACCTGTGACTCTCCAGCCCTCATTCTTCATTCGTCTCTTCTTATTTCAGTTCTATCATCTTCCTCGTTCTCCTCCTCTCCCATTCTGCGCCGCCTACGTGCATGACCACATTCCCACAAAACCGATTAGCAGCGCTTTCAAAGAGAACAGGGTCATGCACTGTCCGACCCTGCTGGCCCCTTTTCTTCTTCTCTTCACTCTCTTATACTTGCAGAAAGCTATATAACAACCAGAAAAATTCAACACTGCTAACACCCTTCTAAGCAAGATCTTTCCTGGACTTCACATTAATGCAGCAGCAAAAGGATTCCAAGTACAGCGCTGGCATAATGAAGTCTTTTTTATTCAACTATCCTTCTATTTGCTAACATAGTAAATCAAGTTACAGTGAAATTAAAAATTGTCCCATTTTATTCATATTTCCTTGCTGCCTTGCCCCCAATGTCTTTGCTTCCCTACTCTTAGACTTTAATGTTCCTTGACAAAAACAAGAATCAGATCTTCAATCTCATTTTTGCTCCTTGCACCTCTTTGGTTTTTTGTTCTTTTGAAGTTCATTAAGAAGTCCCTTATTCCTTGGTCCCCTGAGCTTTGACAGCATAGAAAAATCACAATAGGATTTTTTTAGTAGTACAGTTCAGCAGCTGCTGCATACTGTTTGTGGTATGTTATTGCCAAAATCAGATCTGTTCTTGTTTAATTTTGGAGAGGGGAAAGGTTGGAGTGAGAGAGAGGAAGGAGAAGGAAAAAACAGTAACAGAATGTTAGGAGAAGGACAGGAAAAAGACTGTGTGGAAAGTCTTGTCACAGTCAGAGCACTCCTTGCGCAGCAGGCTAAATCCCAAATTATCAGGCTGCTATTATCAGTTAAAACTTACCAGTCTGCAGGTATGTATACAGTGGTAATCAAAAATAACCACTGGATTCAAGAAACAAATGCTTCTACTGGAAGAAGATGGGAATCAGAGAAAGAGGGAAAAAAAGACTGTAAAGAAGAGCAGCAGCAAAAGCCTTTTTCTTGGACCCACTGACTCCACCCAGCTCTGCGTGGTAAGCCACGCATACATTTTGTTTGCTTTCCAATATGCAAGACAGTGGCAAAAGAAGAAACTTCCTGTTGGCTGTCTCTCAGGCCAAGGAGGTCCTGCTCACAGGACGACGTCAGATCAAGAGCGAGAGAGGACTGCAATCTCTCCAACACCACAATAAGCAGAAGAGAACAAGACAGATTTGCCCCTCCAGCTTCCTGATCCTGAAGTCAATCAGAATCAGCAATACCCAAGAAATAGGCCATTTATTAATATTAAAAACTAGTGCTCTAGAAGGGCCTTCCAATAACACTGATTATCATAAAGTGTCCATTTTTCAGCAGCTTTCATAGAATACTCACATTTCTCAGCATAGGTAGAACCAACTGCTCAAATGAAACAAGGTCTACAACATACTGTCCGACCCGATATTCACGTCTTGAAGTAGAAGAATCAGAGCTGAATTTGAAAAAGAGATACACAATTCCTTCTAAGTAATGAGTTTAGTGAGAATTCACTGCAGTCACTTCAAGTGGATTTACGAGAAGTTATCGCAATAAGTCAAATCCCCTTAATGCTTATAAGAACAAGAAAGAAATTCTGTAAACCATCCATTAAGTCATATTGCAGATAGCAGACTTTCAGATAATAAATACACCATAAGCTACCTTCACAACTATGTAAGCTCAAATATGAACAGTGTATAGAAAGACAATGGGATCTAAAAAGCCAGCAGGTATATTTATGCTGAAATCAAAATACATGCCTGCAGTTCAGATCTTTGAATTTGGTAATGTGACACTACAGACAGCATCACAGCAGTAGCCCAAACCTCAGTATGGGCTGCAAAACCCTTAAACAATCTTGGAAAAAATATAAGTTTGCATGTGCTGCATCACACTATCCTAGGTGAACCTCCTTTATTAGCAATATGCAAATTATTTAGTCAGATCAACTATGTCTGAATGAGGTGCTAACGTCACACCCGGACCTAGACTAAGTTCTGCACAAAGCGTGAAAAGCTAAGTCTAGTGAAACAGGAGAGACTGTGAGCCCCTCTGCACTTCAGAGGCCCCCCTCTTAGTGGGGCTCTGAAACCCTCTTTTTCTTAAAATTCACATGTGCGTTTTGTGGGCCAGTCAGTGGCTCTTTAAAACAACGTTATATGCAATTTCCCTTTTATTTTCCACTTCTGTCTCCATAAATTAGCTGGTGGAAACAAAAAATCTTCCTCCCTGCCTACAATACTTACTGTATCCCAAAGAGACTTGGCCTCACAATAAAAGGCTCAGCAGTGCTTCCTCTCTATTTGGTGTAAAATAGGCAGTAAGAGATAACACCCTTCCCTAGCACGTTTTCAGTATTTCACTGCGCAATAGAGGCACTGTCTACATACACAATACAGCTATCAGCCAGGACACGAGAACTGAAGAAAGAACCTGACCACGAAAGCCATGTGTACTGGAAATCACCTTCTGGAAGAGCATTTAACATGCCAACAGACTGGAGCTGAAGCATAAAACAATAAGCCACTTACAGTTATTAAAACCTCAGTACCTGACTCTAGATAAAGGTCCTCGTTTTCCAGACAAAGTGACAACATCAAATCCTGTTCTCCTGCCACCTTCTCTAACTTCCTCTGTGTAAAATCCATCAATGGGAATTCCCGAGGACTTTAGAGCTTGAGTGACTTTCTGGATCAAAGTAGTCTTTCCAACCCCTAAAAATAAAGAGGAAACAAAAAGCACACAGAATTAATCTTCTCCACTAAAATCCCATTTTTAAACACCACAGTAATGATTCAGTTCAGCA